ACGTAAACTTTTATTCGTGTCTGTCATCCCTCTCAGCCTTGTCTGAATTTGAGTACTATTTTGTTAAACCGTAACAATCTCAGGGCACTGAACAGAAATGAATTGAATTGTTTCTGTTCAGGGTTATGGGGAGCACGTGTCTATCTACAGAGGTCATTGTGTGAAAGACGAGGAACACCCTGAATAGGTTTTCAGTCCAACACAGGGCCGCATAAAGACAAACAAGACAGATAACCATTCACACTCCCATTCAAACTTTGAGATAACTTAGAATAACCAGTCAATCAAACATGCATTTTGGGCGGTAGGAGGAAATCGGAGTATCTGGAGAGAGCATACATGGATGGAGCTGGGTGTTTAACTTGCAGCCGTTTTGCTGTGAGGCAACAGTGCTAACGACTGCTCCACCGTGCAGCGCTGAAATGACCTCGTAATGAAGAATTCCTGGTAGTATAATTTTTTTTTAAATACTATTTGCAGAAATCACAATGTTTTTTGCAAGATCTGTCTTTAAACTTGGGTTCAAAAAGCTATCTACAACAGGTAAGACATTGTTTGTTTATAACCTTTCCACAATATCTTACTTAAAAAGAAATCTGAATTGTCGCTTTAATTGTGTTTTTCACTGATTGTGTGCTGTTTGAAACTAACCAGTCCAGAGACACCTCGGTCCAAATCAGTTTACTTCCCCCAGCTGCTTCCATCTTTTCCCTCTTACACACGCACCCCCCCCCACCATACACACACACAGACGTGTGTACGGCACTGTCTACATTCCAATCACGTCTCCTCTTCACCTCCCTCCTTCCACAGTTATCTTCCTCACAGAGCCCGAGTGCCGTGGCGTCGGCCGATTGCTGTATTTGTGGACGCACTCTGTCTCTGCTTCAGCGAGGAGCAGAAGATGAAGTATACATGCTGAGATCACCAAATCTTCCCTGTTTATTTGTCTGTCTATTCTTCTGTCGGTTTCTTAGGGCTCACATTGATTCCCTGCTGCCTGAGCACAGAGTAGGAGGCTTGAAGGAGAAGCAAACTTACACACTGCTCACTCTCTTTATTGTTGTTTTCTGCTGTGTTCAGTATAACATTGCCCCCAATTTTTTTCCATTCATTCTTTTCCTCTCTTGTTTTTTTCTTCGGCATTTCTCAGCCCAACGTTATCTGCTAAAGAACCCCTCCTTCCTCCATCTTTCCTTTACTTTATTTCCTCCAATCTCTTGTTTGCTCTGATAGAGGAGAACGCCAACGAGAAGAGAAAGACAACAAGGGGGTCTAATGGAAGAAGGGAGGAGAGGGGAGAGATGGACCGTGAGGAGGATGCAACAGCAGGGAACGAGTGATCGAAGGATAAGTTGGGCGAGGAGGAGGACAAGAAGAAGGGGGTGGAGGGGTGCAGAGGACAGAGGAGGATAAATGATTTACAGAGTGGGCTTTACAGCCTGGGCTCATGGGAAATATGAGCTGTAGCAAATCCCACACATGCATTTACATGCTCTTTTACGTGCACATGAGCCTCTGCATGCAGAACTGGAGATTTAAAATTTCAAGGTGTTAATTAGTAAAACGTTTCTGCTCTGCGGGCAAGCTGCTACACAAGTGATTGATTACAGCGGCGGTATCAAAGCTGCTGCCTTCATGATGTAGTTTGAATGTTTTTGTGCTTCATCATACCCAGGAGGACCGATTCATCCCATCTGAAGCATTAAAACCTATCTGTTGCCATACAAAATACTGTCGGGAAGGATGGAGAGAAGAAAAGGAGAGGGGTGCAGATGGAAGGGTGAATTTGATTGTTCCGCTGGATGGTTCATAATGTGCGGAGCTGTGACTGGTTCATTCTTCTTTTTTTTATCCTCTCTTCCTCTCTTTCATCGCATCATCTTCAGAGGCAGCTTGAGATGGGATTTATCTGCTTTCTCAACACATACACACACACACACAAAGGGGACAGAGAGACAGCTCGCTCCTTCCGTCAAATCTGGCTCTGAAACACTTTGAATCTTTCTTCTGCTCCCTGTCTGTCTGTCTGACACCAATAAACATGCACATGCAAATGCACAAAAACTCACAGACGTGCGCAAGTGGAGGCAACACAGGAGGAGAGGAGGGATGGAGCGTCTCTCTCTCTCTCTCTGCGTGTTTACCTCCCCAGTCATCCTGGTTAATTATGCATGCAGAGGCAGTTTGCAAGGAAGGTGGAGCGGCCTGGGAGGAATTACACACACGCATATCCCATCACACCAAAGTCACACTTCTTCACCACCACCATCAGAACCATTCTGGCACGATGAAGCTAAGCTCACATGCTCCGAGACAACCTGACAACGCACTTAAATAAACACGCCTCGCTCCCTCTACCTTCCCTGTTCCAGCACACACACACGTCTAACACATCTGCCATTAACACTCTGCTCAACATAGCGTGCTCCAAAAGAACACAGCAACCCGCCCTGCCGCTGCTCCCCAATCAGTGCTCTGCTCTCACCCCCCAATTACCCACACTTCAGTGCGACACACACAGCATTCAGATGCCCTCACTTTTCCGACTTCCTGTCTGCGTCCTTGCCTCCCCGTGCTCTTTTACTGATAACCCCAGGTTCAGCACAGAGACAGACAGACAGACAAGCGTCCCTCTGTCTCCCTCCTCCTCTCCTCTTCCTGCAGCGTCTCTGACCAGACTGCGTGGGTGGTTTCCTGCCCAGGAGAGAAGCTCAGGAGATTGAAGAAGCCAATATCTGCTCCGACATTTGTCAGTGTCCCGTTGTCATGACACTCAGCTGGAGGTTACGGGGGGTCACAGGCAGCCAGTCACGTAAGATTATTGGAAGACACATAGAGAGGGGGCAGAGATGTACTTCTGATGATTTGAAGCTACTGGAAAGGTAGCAAACAAGCTTAGATAAAAACATTACATCACGGAAGGAATGTGAAAATAAGGAAGGAACAAATGACGGAAAGACGTCATTATTTTATGAATGTTAATTTGCTAACATTTTGCTGCACTTAGCTTACATTAGAGGAGTGAGACCAGATTTTTTTTGGAGGCATGGACAAAACGCAGGAGAAAGAACTGGAAGTGGCAGAAATGAAGATGTTGAGGTTCTTCTTAAGAGTGACAAGGATGGATACGATTAGGAATGAGATGATCAGAGGTACAGCACAGGTTGAACTGGGAGATAAAGTTAGAGAGGTCAGACTGAGATGGTTTGGACATGTCCAGAGGAGGGACAGTGATTATATTGGTAGAAGGATGTTAGAAATGCAGCTGCCAGGAAAAAGACAAAGAGGAGATATATGGATGCAGTTAGAGAGGACATGGAGGTGGAGTGAGGACAGAGTGAGATGGAGGAGGATGACTCGCTTTGGCAACAACAGCCAAAAAAAGAAGAAGCTAAAGTTTTGCTACTCACCTTTATAACTGACATTATGCTACATTTAGTTAGTGCTTTGGTACTTTTAGCATTTCTCTAGTTTTACATTTTAGCTAGTATTTTGCGCCATTAGCCTTTAGCTTTAACAAATAAGTTTCAGGTTCTTTTGCAAAGTCGTTCGGCGCTCGCCGTTCACACTACAGTTTTGCAGAAAATGCGATTCTTAGTTTTGTTAGGTTGTTTTCAAACCTGATAGTCCTGTAGACTCGGTTCGATTGGGGACCAAAATTCGGAACATTTGTTTACATTTTCAGCTGGTGTGGTTCACATTCACACTGCACCAATCGAGCCAACATGTTCCCCCATGGTGGCGCTGCACCAAGAACTACTGAAGGAAACAAGATGAAAACCTCTGAAGACACTGAGCACAACTTACTTCTGGAAACAAAAATGGCATCAAATTTTAGCAGTTTTAGGATTTCTGTTTTGTCTGTGACTCGTGTGCCAAACAAACATTTTTCAACAATGGATTTAGCATGAATGGACGATGAGGAAGACCGTGGAGAATGTTGTTTTTCACACAAGGCGGCTGAGACGGCTTCATATGAGGTAAGAGAAATGCGCATTTGTTTTGGTTGTATTTACCCAGAATGCCCTTCGCTGTAGTCCACTTCCTGCTTTTGAAGCAGTTTCTGGTCTGCTTGCATTCGCAATGCATTCGAACAGTGCTAGCGTTCACTTCAACCGAACCGAGACCTAGGTATTTAGGCGGACCAGAGTTCGTTTTGTAAGTCCGTATCAGAGTTTGATTGTGCATTCACACCTCCCCAAACGAACCGGACTTTCTAGGCAAACGGACTAGAGTTCAATTAAAGTGACTGAACAGGGCTGGTGTGAATGCACCCTTAGAAACAAAATCACATCTTTTCTGGTTTTATTGTCATTACCGCCGACGATAATGTCTTTACCCAAGTCTGTGTGCTTATGAGTAAAAAAAACTCACTGGACAACTTTTATTGACCCCTTTAGAAAATAAGCAATGAGTTTACATCTACAACTGATCAACGTTTAGAGTCAACCTGATTCAAGATGGCTGCCACACAGTTCATCGCAGCAACACAAAAACGAAAACAACTCAGTCAATAACACAAATATTAAACTAAAATATTGTGTGATATTAGTTGAGTCATCCCCAACACATAATTCTAACATTAACTGATCGCATGAGATCTGATTTTAAAACTTTGCCATGTGTGTGTCAATTCAAGATGGCCGCCACAGTTAATGTGATGTGACAGCAGCTGAGAGTCACCTCGCTGCCCGAGGTTGTGAAATTGCACAGGTGATGCTTTGGATTTAAAATCTGTGAAGCCTGTATAAATAAAACCAAAAACCACTGAATTAGGTCTTTTCAAAACAATCCAATTATTTTCAGTTGTTTATGGCTCGTATTTTGTCATTTTGAGGATGTCTGACGGAGTTTTGAGACAGAAATGTTATAATTAAATCAACCCGAGTAAAACGAGCCTTGCCCATTGGCTCTGTGCGGGAGTCGGTGGTGGTGAGGTTTGTGTTAGATTGTGCGCGTGTTTGTGTGCGACATCATATCGTCTCGTCTCATCTCTGGGGTTCAGGGATGACTCATCCACAGACTCAGCTGGCTCTTCCATCACAGATGAAGATCGAGACGCAAATGTCTGCACGCAGCATACACACACACACACACACACACACACACACACACACACACACACACAACACAAGCACCAGCCACACACTCTCTGCTCAGACGTTACTTAAAATGCATAAAACTGGTTGAAGAGGAAGAAGACCTTTTGACTGCAGGATGACAGAGAGGCTGCAGCTTCAGCAGGAAAGAACAAGTAAAGGTCAGAGAAAGAGAGACAGACGTGTCCATCTTTGGCAGCTCAAAAAGCAGGATGTGGAGGTGATTCTGACCCGCTGTTCTGTAAAAAAATATCCCCTCTCTGACCGAGGTATAAACAAGAAGAAACTGACTACAATGGGAGATCTGGGTTTAATGTGGGGGTGTTAGCAAAATGTTCTATGTCATATAAGCTTCGCCCTTTAAGGCCTTCGCTTTAGTGGGTTTATCCCGTTATGCAGAGCATAAGCACTGAAAAAAATTAGTCCACGCCCACCTGCTGTGTGGGCCCTACCCGGTCCGTATAAATTACGTTAAGAGCGGGAAATCGGCTCCCATTTTTTCTTCAGCGAGCTAATATAGCACTGTCAGAAGAACAAAGAAGATAAGTTGTGTAAATGACCAACCTTGTGAAGGATGCTTGGCCCGGCAGTCGACCTCCGGTCGTCCGGTGAGTTCTCCTCCCCGAGGAGAAGATGACAGCAGTCTTATTCCAAGGTAAGCGTCGTGGAACATTTCCCAGTGACAGGTCACTACACGCTGGACAACGCCATCTTGTGTTTTTTCCTCTTATCGCCGACCCTCGGGGCGAACCGGATGGTTCCTCCGGGGCAAGGCGTGCTCAGCTGCAGCCCCCGCTGCTCATTCCCTCCCGGGTAGCGTAGTGTAGGTGGAGGGGGGCTGAGTGAATGCTCACCCCATCCCACCTCGTTTCGCATCGGCGATCACACCGCTCCCGGCCGACGGCGCCCTCAGGGGTTGCCCGGCGGAACCCGGGAGGAGGCTGACATGAAGGGACCCCTTTTTTCTACGTCCCTCGCCTTTTCCCGCCAGTTCGGATGATCGGCGGGAAGGTTGTTTTTCACTGGGCTCCACTGTGGCTCACCGTCTTGATCCATACGGCCTCACGTTCCAACAGGACGTTCCACGGGCGAGGCCGCAGACGGTTCTTTCCTGGTAGATTAGAGGAGTCGGTCCCCAGTCCGCTCCCATCACCAGAGTTGAGGGATTCAC